TCGCCTTCTTACTGTCGTAGCAAGGCTGTCCACTCCGATCTCGGTATCGTCGTCGCATCTCGACAAATGAGGCACAAGGAGGAGCAGGAAGAGTTCCTGGACCACTCCCTGCTGATCTCCCAGCGGCTGTTACCCCCCTACACACACACACATACAGAGTCTCTCCACCCCTAACCCGCTTCCACCTTCACCGCGTGCCAACGGCAGTAAGTGTATCTGTGCGTGTAGACTAGTTGTGTGTGTGTCTTCGTAGAGTGTTTGTGTGTGTCTGTTAGTGGTGAGCGGTAGTGTGCATGTAATAGAGGTTCCTGGGTTACATCGCGTGAATGTAAATGCGTCGTTAAACCCAGCACCACCCGACACAGGCGCACATAAAACAGAACGTGGACAATTCGTTACTAGTACAGCACAGAGGTGTGCCGGAGAGTAAACCCACAACATTTACAATTCGAGTACGAAGTTTCGCCAGTAATTACAACTAGCATCATCTTTACGGACAGCCTGATGATTGTTTACGTGACAAACCTTGCCGGTGGGCTTACCGACACATTTATATTTTACGCTTTCGAATCCAAAAACCCCTTGTGTGTATAATATTGGTCACGAAAGCCCTACGTGTTAAAGCGGTCGTGTAGCGGTTAGCGGGTCTGCGCCACAAACCCGGCGAACCAATTTGGTTCCCGCTCGCAGCGAACATCGGTGACGATGATCTGAACCAAATCATTGGACTTCCCCGAGGGTCGACTCGGCCTCAAATGAGTCCCTGGTGTGGTGTGTAAAGACAAAGGCGGCCGGGGTGGTGTTGGCCACCCTCTCCCTCGGGTGCTGTGACGACATTCATAGATGGCGCCTGACAGCACTTGCCCCAAAAGTCTGTCGAGGCTATGCGCGGGGTGGGGGGTGGGATCTTTGTCTTTGTATGTATATGTGGTTTCATATATACATACATACAAATACACACGATGAGACAAAAAGACAACGATCCCCTATGTAACGGTCATCAGACTGTTGGGGCAAGTGCTGTTGGTGAGCGCCTATGAAGGGTGGCAAGGCACACAGGGGAGTGGGTGGCCAGCACCACACTGCCACTGTCTCCCCAGTGCTGATGTTTACACTGTTCCAGGGACTCTTTTAATGCCAAGACGACCTAGAGGAGGCCCTGGTCCAGTTTATTTGTTCGCCACTCTTAGTGGTCGTGAGCGGGAATCGAACTAAATTCTCCGGGCTTGTAGCAGTGCACTAACCGCTACACTGCCACTCCCCATATATATTTGCGTGCACACACACACACACATGCTGTACTGTACGTACAAATGTGGTGGTGCGTCTGTCGGTCATCTCAGTCAGTCTATAACACCGGGGCCTGTCCTGTGATCCCCCACCAGCTGCGACCCTTCCACACCTCATCAAAGTTCATCTGGCCTGGCACAAGCACTGTGTTGATGTCACCACCACTTAGTGATGAATGGCGACTATTGTCGGTGTTGTTGGTGGGGAGCGGCGGTGCAGCGGTTAGCGCGCTGCGCCTATGAGCCCGGCGGCCCACGTTCGATTCCCGCTCACGGCCAACGCCAGTGACGATTATCTGAACCGGTCCAGGTGCTCTCCGAGGACGACTCGTCCTTTGAGTGTCAGGTGGAATGTGTAAATGTTTACCATTGGGGAGGCAAAAGGCGGCTTGGGCGTCGTGTTGGACACCCACCCACGCGTGTACCGTGCCGGCCTTCATAGGTGCTCGTCAACAGCACTTGCCGCAAACGTTCGCAAGGCTGCATGGGGCGAATCTTTGTCTCTTGTGTGTTCCTGCGTGCTCCTTCGCCTTCGCTGGGTTGAGTTTGTTCTGGCCGCGAGCTGGCCAGAGCAAAACGACGCTAATTTGCCCAGAGCGCGCAAAGGTCAAAGACCAGATATTCTGCTCGTTTATATTTCACATTGACGACGTGGAAAATGCCCCATGCGGGCCAGCCCCTTCAAGGTGGGAGGGTGGTGGTGGGGGGTGGTGGTGATGGTGGTGGTGGGGGGTGGTGACCACTTGCAGCAACACTTTGTAAAAGGGGTTGCCACCTGTCCCGGGCTTGACCCGAACAGCTGGGACTACTCCGCATTCGGGTTTGACCCGGGAGAGTCCAGAACTTGGCAGCTTGTGTGCAGGCGGCGGCAGGAATTGATTCGTTCCGAGATTTGGTACAAGTTCTGCTGCGTTGAACCTTATGCTTATTGAATTTATTTCGCAACTTTAAATAAATATAGACAACACGTTCTACTTAATTAAATAGACTTTTTAATAAATGTTTTCTCCTACAACATCAGAGTGCAGCGCCATATTAAATACGCACTACAATGACAATAGTTTAAAGCGATTTGAAGCATGTTTAATTTTCAAAATGGAAATATGGTTTTGGGGGGTGGGGGGGGGGTCAGAGCTTTGTGACGTCATATTTGAGGGGGGGGGTCTGACTTCTTGTGACGCTGTGTGACGAGGGGGAGGGGGTCAAAAATCGTCCAAAATCGCGTGACGTCATTTATGGACGGCCCCAGTATCCTGCGCAGTTTCGGTAATAGTATCGAGCGAGTGTTGTCTTGGTTGGGCCTACAGTGTAAACGGTGGCAGGCCCGGTATATCCCGGCAGTATCTTCGAGCTTCAGGAGACTTAAGTTGACAATTCGTCTCCAGCAGGACGAGAGAACGCGTGCGGGCTGGCAATGGTAATGGGTCTCGAGCAGCGGATCTCAGAGTGTGGGCACCGCACCACCACCGCCAGTGAGTGGTCCGCGACGCTCCTCCACGTGGGCCCCACGGGGCTGTGATGCAAACGCAGCTTGGTCCGGACAACGATGGTGGTGACGTTTATTAAACTTGTTGTTTCTGACATTAATATTTTACTAACGGTATTCCATTTAAAAATTAAGTTAGGTAAACTACCCTGACTATACTACCCTTGCCCTAAGATTTAAATGCCCCCCCCCCCCTCCAAAAAAAATATGAATAATTTTGTAACTGGTATTTAGCGAGAGAAGCGAATTCGTTTTGTCAACAGGAGGTGGGCGGCTGGGTGATCCGTGGGCCAAAAGGGTTTGAGAAACGCCGCTCTAGACTGTGAGTGTCTAATAGTGGCACGAGGCGAGTTACGTGTCATCGCCAAATTACCTAAAATTAGAAAACGGTTGGCTCCGTGTTTGTATTTGTACCGAGGTCTGGTTTCCCGGTTATTTTTTTTATTGAGCGTTATCGCAGCTTTTGCCGCGCAGTGTTGGTCGACCTGATCCTGACCGAGAGAAGAGTACGTCCGGGTTGGGCCATCAGTGGGAAAGGCGGCGACGCCGGTGTATCCCGGCAAATACGTTCCGCTGATTTCAGGAGGCACGAGTATGCGCACCGTTTGGCTCTCGTTCCAGTCCGAGAGAACGTGCACTAGGTCGCCACGGGACAGGGCAAGAACACGATTTGTGTTCCTGGGAAGTAAGTGTTATTTTCTCATTGATTATGCCTCAAAAGTATGGAAAATGGCTGCTATTATTATTCCACACAAACTTTGCTTTTGTGGCCAGGACTTTACGTGAAGGAATTACACAAATGCACACCACGTTTTCTCATTGACAATAGGTACATTTCAAAATATCACTGTCCTGGTCACAAAATCAAAGTTTGTGGGGAATAATAATAGTCCATTTTTTGTACTTTTGAGGCATAAGCAATTAGGAAATAACACTTACTACCCAGGAACAAACAAATATATTTTTGTGTTCGACAGTGAGTTTGTCGAGCCTGTGAGGAGTGTTCAGTCCTGGCACCTCGCTCGTTAGTTACATGCAATGGACAGATTACCTCAATTCCCTCTGTATCCTTCGCTCTGTATTCGTGCTCTGATCTGGTTACCAGTGTTGTGTTCTGCTTTATCTCAGTATATGCAGTGGTGGAAATGGGCCGGAACGCCCCGGAACGCCCCGATGGGAGTGCGAATTTGAACCCTGTGACTGCGTACCGGAAGGAATCGCGGATTCGTCTTTTTTTTCTTATCCCCCCCCCCCCCCAACTTTCCGCTAACTTGTAATGTTCCTACACACAAGATTGTGAACTTTCCTGTGTTCTGGCTGAGCTGCCCTGGCCACGCCTCTGTATCAGCCAGCCAATCGAATACCCAGCCATTGGTTTTACTCCACCCAGTATATGTACACTCATTATCTACTATTTATTTTTGTTTAATAATGAAAAAGCCATAACAAAGGAATCACTTCGAACACGTGTCTTTTCTCTCTGAATGCCCTAGAAAATAAACCTCCCTTGGAGGTCACTCGACCCCTGGTACAAACAAAAAGTGATCCTCTCTACGCTCGGCACACGCATAACACCCCTCGTGATTTAATTCCATTTCCAACCCCCGAGTATAGCTTCGCAGCGAGTTTGATAATAATAGATGGAACGCCGACTCGAGAAACCCGTCCGGGTTCTCGGTCTCCGCGTACGAGGCAGCGGGCGACCCTCGGCTCGCTTACGCGTGCGCCCTCCTTGCCGCGGTTGTAAAACCGCCGGCCGATGTCCCACACCGTTCGGCCTCGCGGTCGGCCGCCCACCCTGGCGGGCCACCGCCGCGACCGCCACCTGTGCCTCGCGCTTCCATCCCGATCGCAAGCGCAAAGCGCCGCGCCGGATTTGCCAGCAGGACATGCGGGGCCACGGCGTTCAGAAGCCTCCCCTCTAGCACCACCACGACCACCAACCACCCTTGCCCTCCCCCCCCACACACTGCCTCCCGTGTCACGAGCGCTCCCACAGAGGCACAGCTGCGCGTGGGGGGAAACGGGATAGCCTTGGGAATCGGTGACAATGCACTTCCTTTCATTCTAAATCCGCCTCGCCCAAGGCAGCTGCTGAGGAAATAGTCCCACTACGTGTCACCGAGTCCAGCACCACCACTACTTTCCAGGGTGCTCTTAATTATACATTGTTTTCGTTGTGTACTACCTGTTGCAGCAGCAATTACCATTATCGCCTGTTGCAGAAGCAGCGGCGGCATTGGCTGGACACCATGGAGTTCTTAGACGGAGGTGAAAACACACGCGGAGGAACATACGAACGTGCACACACAACACGTGCACATATAGGTGCACACGAACCGTGCGTATGTATGTTGAACTTCTTTCGCACTGTACATAGCCAATCATACTCATCGGAGGTGCGGGGAAGGACAACAAACTAAACGCAATCAACAGTTTTAAATAAATTAGTTTTCAATCTAGAGGATTTAAAAGTGCATTGCTCCGGTGGCTTCCTAATATTGAAAGGAGGAGCGTTCCAGACGGCCGCAGAAGCGCATCTGAAAGCGCGCGATGCGTTGAATGTCTTAGTCCGATGGCCAGCCCAAAGCCACTGCTGTGAGGATGGCCGGAGTTCACGTGATGATGGTTTATGCTCTTTGATGAGGTGATTTGGCGATGATGCTGCTGCTGCTGCTGCATTGGCAGCGGTGCAGAAGCACAAATAACAAAAACAAAACATTTGACACATTCATCAATGACACACACTGTGGCCTTAAAATGAAAAACACATTGAATAAGCAACGTTTCGGGGAATGCCCCCCACTTTTATAGAAACTGTAAACTATTTAAAACTATTTTTTTATTTTACTGGCCCACTGAGCTGTATAGTTCTTTTTCAGAAGCGACCTGGCCACCAATGATAGCTCAACGAAGTGACTTATCACGTGTGGACATTCATAGCAGCCAAATACTCTAAACGCACCTTTCTAAATGGGGAGGGAAAACACGGATGACCTGGAGAAATGTCCACGTGATCACGGGGAGCACATGCAAAACTCCAAATAATACAGGCATCAGGGTCGGAATTGAACCCACGACATCCTTTGCATACCAGGAATTGAACCCACGACATCCTGCATACCAGGAATTGAACCCACGACATCCTGCATACCAGGCGAGGTAGTCAACATCCCGCAACTGTGGCGCCCCAAGAAGGGCTTACGAGTGCAGTCTCCCACTCGTATCGACTCTCTCTCAAGCCTCGCTGTGCATGTGCTATGAAGGACAATTGCTCGAAACGTCACCCATATATATTTTTTTGTTCCTTTTAAGACTATAGTGTTATTGACGTTCGAGTTTTTCATAAATATTACACGTTGTTACGAGCACAGGCCTCCGATTAGCGTGGATGGCTACGTACGGTGCGCGATAAGTTCAACAACAACAACAACATGTAAATACATACTATGTGTAAGCATGGATTCATTGTAACTGCTCTACCTGCCAGACATGCCAAGAACGGGGGGGGGGGGGGGGGGGGGCACGTGTGATGCCCTCTGTTGGGTTCTGCTCCCCGCTGCCTTCCTCCCGTGCCCCATTGCAAAGAGGATCCGGGCAGTGGTGGTCGTGCATGTGGCTGCCTGTAACCCAGCGCTGTGGAGGCAGCAGTGAGGGTGGGCGGATGGCATCAATGTTGAGAAACTCCCTTTCCCGTAGGGCGTCGATGATGGTGCCGTGTACCCTGGCTTGGCAGGGGAATGCGTGTAAAAACCAAAACGTGGATTCTACACCCTGTCCTGTCTGTATGGGATACAGTTGTTTCTCCCTCGCACGCGAGGTTTTCTCCGGGCGCATCCGGTTTCCTCCCACATGAAGACACTCATTGGGTGATAACGCCTTAATATTATATATAGAGAACCGCAAATCTTGGGCAGTCGTCGGTGCCAGCATCACTCGTGGCTGCTGCCTTCACTGTGGTTCCTCGCGTGGCGGCGTGTTACGAGTTAAGACTCTTTATTATTATTATTATTAACTGGCTAAATCATCTGACTCCGTGGAGTATTTCACCGGGCCACTCTCTCTCCTGTTCACGTCTGGGGCCGCCGGAAGAGCCGAAATGAGACGGCGCTCATATATTGATCATGTGTCTGCAATGAGTGGAGTGTCGATCGACACCTTGGTGGGACAACCCTTACGGGGATTACCCCTCGCTGAAATACTGTCACAAAAACAAGAATAAAGGGCCGCGTTCAGTCAGTTTTAGGTTGAAAGTTGATTTTGTTTAACCAGGCGAGAACTTAAAGGAGACCAGGATGAGGCTCATTTTCAAGAGCCAACCAGCGCATCGGTCTGCCAGTTGGAATCAATGATTGCTGCTGTGTGTGTGTGAGAGATCCCAATTGAGCAATCGGTGGTGGGACATTTCGAATTTGGCAAATCTGTACCCTGACGCCGGCACACAGCGGCCTACTCTTGCCATTTACGTCCCGGGATCCTGAACGCCGTTCTGTGACGCGGACGGAGCGCAGTAGCGTTATCGTTGGCATTACGCCCGCAAGTATTCATCGGGGCGGCCGCTAGATTCGAACCGTGCGAATCTCTGCAACAAGTGGTGAACGAACGCCCAACGATTGACAGGCGGTAGAGGCAAAACGTTGACAAACTTAAACATCGCTAACGTGTGAGTTGCAGTGTCCATTCAAGGGCTCTGATATAGAAAAAAACATTGTAACTTGACACCAGCACACAATAACCAGATGATGTCATCGTCCGGCAGAGGAGGGTGTGACCTGTTATTCTAAGACCAACTGTTGGCAATTTGCCGGCCCTTTTAACAAGTCGTGGCGTGCATATGAACATATAACATAAAAAGACTGTGTTACAGTACTTTTTCTCACCAATTATATCCATAGTTTAGGTGTTTCAGACATCAGCTTACGGAGTGTATAATTATATAATGGAGGTAATTTATCAATTTCATGTGGACTGGCCTAGTGCTGCCCCTATTTAACTCTCCGTCTAAACGCTTGCGTTGCCTCCGAAACGTCGTGATTTGATTTAGTTGTTTTTAATTGTTGTTTTACTTTAACTTTCTTTTATTTTCACCCACGTGACGTTGCCGAAATAACCAAAGAGTACGCTTCATCATTCTCTTGTTCCGTCCCATACTGGCCCGGCAAAACATTTTCTTCATCACACTGGAGCCCAAGTCGTGCGCTGAATGTCTCCTAAGGGCAGTCGAGGAGCTTGCTCGGGACATTCTGGACTTTGCCACCCTTTCCACCGTAGACCAAACCCCGGACAACGCATTCTCTCAGTCGGCACGAGGTCCATCGTCAAAACGGGGCTCTTCTAGTGTCACAAAGTTCAACGTGGCAATGCTGGTAACCAGACGTCGGAACGATCAGTTCCTGCTGCCACCCGACCACGCAGATGCCGATTCCCCGGGGCTGCGCCGGGTCAAACACAACGACAGATGTTCACCCGATTAGCGACCGTGTCCAGTGCTCACTGCATTCCTTTACGAGCCTCAGTCGTGCGATCGGCTTCAGCCACTGCGGTGTTTTGGTTAGCTCTCGGACAAAGACGGTCACCACATCGCGTACTTTCAGGTCCACTTCTGCAGCCGTCTGGAACGCTCTTCCTCTACGATAATAGCAAGCCACTGGGGCTGTGCACTTTTAAGTCATTTGGATTGAAAAGTAATTTCTTTAGAACTGCTTTTTGTGATTAGTTTGTTGTCCTTCCCCCGCACCTCCGATTCGCACGGTTGGCTACATACGGTGTGAAAGAAGTTCAACACGCATACAGGACGAAAGATGCCGTAGTTTTATCGGCAACATATTAAATACATCATTTAATGTTTAAATACATCGTTTGAATACGTCTATACGCAATTTAATGCTGTATGTTGCGAAAGAAGTTCACATCGCACAAGATACCCAGGCCTCACCCTTGTTAACATCCACCAAATATGAACTCGCAGGGACTTGTAGCGAACTCTGCAGACGTATTATTCCAGACTTATGACGAAGGCATTACGACCTCCCCCCCCCCCGCCCGCCTGCCGCCCCACCAGCCCTGAGAAGAGGCTGGCTCGCAGCATATTTTAATTAAGAATCTGAACACCTGATTCAGCCCACCGTGTGAACCAAAGCGCTGCAGTCGTTTGACAATCACAAGAATAAATTACACGAATAGAGAGCCCCTTCTTACAAGGTAGTCAAAGCGGCCGTACAGCACAAAAATAAATAAATGAATTGCTCGCCAAAGGGAGGAAAAAAGCTAACAAATTACAAGAGCCGATTGAGAGACGCAAGAGTAACTGGCGTTTCACTCACGATTCAAATGACTAACTGTTAACTATATCTTTTTATTTCACCTAGGTAAGGGCCCCCACTGAGCTGTGTAGCTCGTTTCCCGAAGCGACCTGGCCACAAATGATAGCTCAATGAAGTGGCTGGTTTATCACGTGGATACTTGCAGCAGCCAAAAATCTTGATTTGAAGCTTTCGTCACTGCAGGGATCCATACTCTCCGGTTCTTTCGGTAAAGTCACGTAGAGTATAAAATAAATAAAATCACGACGTTTCGGGCGCAACACAAGCGGTCCGTCATCAGGCGGGACAACCACAGCAAGAAACAACTTGAAACGCATGTTGATTCTAAACGTGGAGGTAAAAAACCTGAGGACCCAGAGGAGGGAAACATCCACATGACCACGGTGAAAGAGAGACGCAAACTTCAAATGCAGCAGCAGGCGTCAGGGTCGGGAACGAACCCACGACCTCCTGTATACCAGGCGAGGTAGTTAACATCTCCTAGCCACCGTGATGATGATGAAAGAGACACACAAACTCTAAATATACAGCAGCAGGCGTCAGGGTCGGGATCGAACCCACGACCTCCTGTACACCAGGCGAGGTAGTTAACATCTCCTAGCCACCGTGATGATGATGAAAGAGACACACAAACTCTAAATATACAGCAGCAGGCGTCAGGGTCGGGATAGAACCCACGACCTCCTGTATACCAGGCGAGGTAGTTAACATCTCACCACCGTGGTGCCCTACGAATCGTCGCGATGGTGTGGCGTTGAAGCTCAGACTCGTGATCAACCCGCCCCACAGCAACAACAAACGTCACGAACTTCCACGGTTCAGGATCGTGGATCAATTTAAGAATCCTATTTATTTTTTATGTAGCCGCTAATGCAGAGGCCAATCGAGGCTACAGGGGGGAGGTTGGGGGTGGGGGTCACGCAAATCCCATCACGTACGTCTGAGCCG